GGGGGGGGGTTGTGCCTCTGTAGAATATGCTAATTGCCTTGGAAGGGGCGAATTGCATCCTTCATTTATGCCTTTCCCTCTATAGTACACTATGGTCTTTAGTGGTATATTGGAAAATTTCGCACGTGTCAGTAACCAACTAGACGAACTTGATACCTGCAACTCGACACGGCCGCCACAAGCTTTCCTGCCGATTTGTACGTTGTTACCCCTTTTTCTACATTACTCCCTCGCCTTTTCTAACTTACACTGTCTCCTAAATTACGCTGTCGTGTGTCTCATATGCATAAATCCACGTTCTATGTATTCCATAACTTCGTACAGTGCACTGTCCACTCATGGTTGTCGCCGTCATCACGTGGCCGCTGCATCCGTCGCCGCCGCACATCTGGGCTCCACGAGGAGGTGTTGTTCCCCCACGTGTGCGTTGTGTTGCCGCCGCGTGTGCGTTGTTGTTGTGGCATCGTCTCGTTTGCGGTGGCATCCGTGCGGAGTCGTATGAGGCCGTATTTGGCCGTGTTGGTGCTTTCTGCCATCGGTCCTTACCTGACGGTGCCTTTGATGATGTTGCCGGTTTGGTGGCGGTCTGCTGGTTTTTGTCATCCGTCGCTGCAATAAAGGGCAAAAATGGGAATTACAAGGGTTAGTATGTACTTTTTGTGTTCTTGGAAGTACACAGGAATGAACGTTGTTCACATATCTCCATCGTGTGTCGCGTTGCACTTGCCCTTTTACGTCGACACTGTCTGTAGTGGTCGTGTGATTACTTATCCTTCCTGCTGTGTTCTAATCTTTCTCATTCGACCGGAACCTGCCATGCCTTACCTAAGTTGTCCTTCTTCGCCTGTGCCCTGTTTTGTATGGTTTCCGCTGCCTGTTTTCCTATGTCCTTAAATATTTCCGTCATTGTGTCTTGCAGTCCGTGCACTATTTGAACAATCTGCGAGCCTGTCGTATCTCCGTTATTCTCACCTTTCAAGAAATCCTCTATTTTCCATCCCGGCTGCCATTTGGTCTGACATGCTGCAGTTCCCTTCACGTTGTTAAGTCGTTGTTGTAGTTTTTTATTTTGTCCTAACCATGCTTTGACTGCTGCATTTAACTCAAGTTGCTGTATTTTCCCTTGCGCCACTACATCTCTACCACATATTCCTCTCTCTATTAAACCTCCCAAAACACCTCCCTTCCCAGTGTCCATTTCTTTCACGGTGTGCCATGCATAATTTGTCCCCCACTGACTCTTGCACACTGATTCGTTTAATACGGCGCTGAACATATGCGCTATTATACATCGTAAGTGCTCCCTTATGTTTTCACTGATGTCATCTTCCTTCTGCCTGTGCCGTTCTGGCCTAGTCCCCCAATTCATGAAAAATAAGGCCCCTACCATAAGTACGCATACAATTTTATCGCCGACCTTCTGTCCTACTCCGTGCTGACCTGGCTTCAACCCGGAGTGTTCCCATCCTGCGTTATCACAGTTCGCTGCATAAGATATCATCTCTTGTCCCTCCATGTACTCAACAAATTCCTTCATTACATCCTTGGTCTTGTTCCACACTGCTTCCTACAATGTAATAGAAACACAGGAAATATATGCATGCGCATGTGTGCCTGAATGCTATTTCCGCCGCTTCGCTTCATTCTCTCGTGTACCAATAAAATTCTAGCACGTAACTGCCCGCGTCGTGACCTTTGTGTTTCTATATGTGCCTACCTGATATGTATCCTGATCGTCAATTCCCGCTTTCCGTACCCATTGGGCCAACAGCTGGGCTAGGTTCGCTGCTGACATATTAGTATTATTGTATTAGTGTACTATACTTTATCCAGTGCCTTGGAAATACTATTATGCTACATATATCCCATTGTAACCCATGTAACATTCTCTTCCTTAATATGTCCATATTCTGCTAAATAATTATTCTTGGTCTACTTGTACAACCATATTTACGTCAACTGCTGGTATCATATGTACTTGTGCTCACTATAGTGCTGCCGTACACTAGTTATAGTTTCGCTAAGGGAGAACAACATCGAGAAGAAAGAAAAAAATACAAGGATAGAATAACAAGAAGAGAAAGAAAACAAAAAAAGAACGAACAAAAAAAAAAAGGACAGGAAAAAAAGTACATTACCCTACCGTACACGCGCAACACGTCATGAATAACGCCCGCTGCCGCGTGTCTACACCGGTCTCCACTGCACGCCTTCACACACACTGTCTCTGTGTGTGCGTACACCTAAAACCCCGCAGTATAACAACCACATCA